GTGTAAAATGGACCATTCAATCCTTGCTGCGATGCATACACTTAAATAGAAATTTCAAGCGAGTGATGGCCAAAAAATGGTTGCGGAGTGTAGTGGCAGAGTGGTTGAAAAAGTACCACGCGCGCGATTAGGGGTTCAAGTGCCGTACGGGAGGATAAGCACACTGACTAGTACATTGGCTGGCCCCCTTAAGGTGCATGGTCCACATCGCATGCAATAAGTCAGTGCCGCTTCAAATAAAAGTTGAATGCGTCCCGCATTCCAAGAAGGGGTTGACCAACTTAACCACAGTTCATCAAGACCTTATCCTTTTTATTCTCTAATGGTCTAGGGATGCTTATTCACATACTCCCTTTTTGAGCAGCTAAAAGTGTGTAATGAATCACATGTCCAACACATCCGCTTTACGGGCAGAAATAAGTGAGGGGAGCGGTATCACGTCGCGCCCTCACTGTCGCGCTAGGACTCAACTAATTCAACGAAGGCAGTGTCAAGTCTACTAGCTATGAAATACTGAGCTAATAAGCGCAGTGCCCATGCGTGCGTTGTGAGCATTGATGCGGCACCATAAGGAAGCCTCCTAGGACACAAAAGGAAGGATCTCATAAATGTGGGAGAGAATAGAGAGTGAAGTGGAGATGAAATCAACATCAATTGCACAGAAAAGCTTACTTGAAAGCCAAGAGTTTTCAGCAGAGCTGAAAATCGACACGAGGTGGGCATTCGCCTCCTGGCAGCTTTCCTCGGCCATGTAGAAGCTTTGTTGAGTTTTGGTTAACTTGTAGCATCTAAACTACAGAATATCCTTATTCTTCATTCAAAACCCCGATCCAAATTGTAGGGTCTAATAAGTGATGAAAAGTGATGAATGTAACAACTTCAAAATGCTGTTCGGCTTATGAGGGCGGGACTTTCACTAGTTTCTTCAGCTAGTAGTTCAATTTATTCTGCAAGTCTCACTTTAATAAGACCTTTTAACTATTCTAGGTGAACATTGTCAATCTGCGAAATAGGTACAGAAGAGCTATCTCGCTTACAGGAATTTACAAGACTTCACAAAGTACCCTGCACATACTTTGCTGGTTACGATGTCATGCTCCACCAAGCCGATCAGCGATGAGCTGCAACTTTTTTGGAGAGCCAGGCCTCTAAAGTCAAAGTGAGCCAAGCAATACCGCTCAAATTTGGGCAAACTCCGATGCCCATATCCAAGGCTGATCAGGAAATATCCGAGTTTTGCTGCAAGACTACTCAATAATGTCGAATCGATATAAGCTAACCTGTTGAATTGTTCCTGATAGACGAAACCAAACGGACAAGTGGCCCATGCCAATGGGACAGCGGCCACAAGTAGCAGCCACCACATTCCGATCTATTCTTCTTATCACAGCATCGCGCCTGATGGCGACTGTTCCTGAGAATTCTTGCACCAAGTCAAGAATGGCTGATAGTAATCAATAATCATCGCTGGCCGATGACTGTACGGAATACACGTTTTTTTGAGTATGTTCAATCAATATATATTTGACTTTGTTCCTTACTATCCTTCAACTTCTGTGGCATAAAATCTATAGACGAAGTGAGGAAGGAAAACGGTTATCTACACTGGTTAAGCCACTCAAACCTATCTGCAATTTTGAAGAGACCAGAGTGCATGGCGTCTTCCACATTGAGTTCATCAGCTCTGGTGTGCTTTATTGGGAGTTTGATGGTTGTGCATTAGGGCCACTGTAAGCGAGTGATGGGCAGTCGATGTGAGCAACTTTCAATTTCATGCGTGAATGTACTGTAGCTGTAGCTCAAAGGCGTGGTCTCTTTTCCAGGGCGACGGTAGTGTGGACAGCAGTGAACAACCATGGGCAAGTTCCCGTCAAAAAGTTGCAAAGTAGGGGGGGGGGTTCCGGGGCAAGACTGCTCATGCGACACCCCGAAACGTCAGTGAACCCGCCCGCATTGATAGTTGTCCTGTTGTTGTATGTTGCATTGCTCGATCGCATGATCTCTCGCTGCTTTTGTCTGGTATTTTTCTTAAAGGCACAGTTCGCGACCGCAAATTGCGGGAAACGGAACTCAAATAGGCACAAAAAAGTGCTAAGTATCTGATTAGCGGAGAAAAGCAGCAGAAAAAGCAGTCCGAAATGTTATAGAGAAAGATAACATAGTGGCTACTAGCTAGTAGCTAGCACGTGAGTCGGCATGGGCCTAAGGGGTGTCCATGGGCCTAATTAGTCAGCTTCTAGCGGAGTTCTTGCCGTTTTCACATTTTGAAAGTAGCGCAGCCTCAAAAATCGTCTTCCGGATCGTTCGACACATTTGAGAGGTCATAGCCTTATTTTATCGCGGAATGTGCCTTAAAATCATATCAATTTTTGCCGCTCGCTCATAGCAAGGGGAGCCTTATTTGGAGCGTTTTCGATAAATTCTCAGCTTTTTTTTCTTCGCGGTCGAGCCATCTAATGCATAGACTTCAGATTTTCTGCTTGCTCCCGTCCTGAAATCTGAAAATCTGATCTGCTTGAACTAGGAGACCGAGTCGATAATTGTAGAAGTGTGGCACTCTCTGTTACTCAAAGTAACGGAAATGAGGCTGAAGGGTGAAGGCAGCCCGATGTCTTGAATCTAGGCTAAGCTATCGTAATTGTGCACCATTTGTGTCGACATCAAAACCCTCGGCGAACATACGCAGCCAAGAACAACTATACTTGGAAGGGACAAACTAGTACATAGCGCGTTTAGCTATGGTGAGGGGTGTGCTGGCCGTGCGGCACGTTACACGTCTACTTGCTTTGCCTGCAGACTGAGATGCAAACGCGCTAGCTCCCACCATCCTTCTGCATTATTTCCGCGCACCTTTTAGTGATCAAAATGATACTTCTACAGTAGGCAGCCTGTTCTCATAGCAAATCACAAGGACCGGAATCCTCTTAGCTGAGCGTACAACTTGTTACCGAGAATCATTTGGAGAGCAGCGTATTGCCCTATATTAAATTCAGCACCTGTTCCAGGATGCAGTCATAGTTCGAAGCTTTGAAAAACCTGAATGTGCTCCCTTCAGTTCAGTCCTTTCTGCCCCTTATCATTCATTTTCCGCGGCTATACGAAATAAACTCCCGATTAATTGCCCCTTTTAGTATATTTACCGATGTTTGGGTGAGGTGAGTTACTGGTCAGAGCAATCAAACAAAGCTGATTTATTGCTATCAAAATGACAAATAGACCTTTGAGGAAAAAAAGATTGGTGCAGTCAATGAAGTGCTGCCTTTTTGCAGACGAAGGCTCTCATAGACGTTGAGCATGGGATGTCGTTCCAGTGCCGATAACTGCTGTCTTTTGTAGGATCTTTTCCGGTATAGTCGCTGTACGCCTATAAGAAATATTCAACATTTGAAATCAGTCGTTGAAAAAATTGGAACTAGTTTTATATACAGGAACAGTTGATGTCAAAGCCACATCTCGCGGTTGCAATTCGTGCGCTTTGGGTTCTTAATATGGACTCACGGACACTAGTTGACCTCTTGTCAAAGATGCATTACAGGGATTAAACGAATATTCGAAAGAAGCCGATTATATATCTGCAAGTGCGAGGGACCAGAGAACAAAAGGATGAGAAGGACGGGAAACACGAGTGAGACGACAAAGTTTCGGAACTCCAGGCAGAATGACGTATGCGGTCACAATTCTGTACGTCACATTCTGTGGCTTCTATGAGACTTGGAACACGCTGCATAGTCTTCATCCCCCATAGGTGAGGTGCTGGGTTCGCTCGTTTATGGTCAACCGCATGGCCATCTTGTCACTCATTGCTTGAGGCGATACGGCGTTAATTTGATGCCATGGCATTGAATAAGGCTCAGGTAAGGAAGAAGAAAAGCCACATTAAACTGACTTCTTTGCGCAGGTCCTCTTTCAATTACGGTTCTTTGCCTCAGCAGATGTTTGGTGTTTTGATGAACTGTGAGAAAGTTCTCTTCTGGAACCAGGACTCACCATCAGCTGTGAAAAACACAGCGGGGTCATATCTGGCTGCTGGGAGCGATTAGGGTCTTATTATTTTATGAAAGAGCTTCTCTCTGCTTGTTGATTTTTCCACGCCTACGCATTTTACCCTCTACTGGTTCAGCAGTCAGCGAAACTACCACTTCTTACAGTTGATCGGGAGTGTCTACCAAACCTTTTTCCGCGATCAGCGGCAGTTTCGGAAAAGAATTCGAATAGTACATAGGATCAGGAATGGGAAAGAGACCGCAATGAAGAAGAAATTTGAAGGGTCGCAATTACAGCGATAAAATTTCCAGCAGCATGATGTGGACCTTTACTGAATGCTTCAGGCAGCTCGTCTCGAAAGCGAAGTGACATAGAAAAGAATCGTGGTCTATCGAAGCATCGGCTAAGGATCTAACATAAGGACAAGTTTGCCTCTTAATTCTCCTACGAAATCTAGTAACAATCACCCAGAGAAATCTCTTCTGTTCGCACTACCTAAAAGGTCAACTCAAAACTGCGCACGGGTCGCGAACTGATGAAGACCACTGAAAACTTTTAATAAGTTGACATTTGAAGCTTTGAACTCTTAATTGTTTTGTAACAATTTTGTTACTAGACAAATTTTCCGAACGTACCTGACCACAGTGCTCTGAACCATGGTCGTCGTCGGGCTGCTTAGGAGCCCAGTTCTGATAATTGACTGGTGTGCCATCCGTCCAAGTCCATGTGGTTTTCGAGGGATAGTCGGCTTGTCGAAGACCAATCCATGTGAGATCGCTTCCACTTCCATAGTCATTACCAGATTGCGCAATGTCTTAAATGATCAATTACTATGAATTAATTATTCTAAGAGATGCAGTAGGCAGAGGCAGCAAACAGTGAAAGCACAATAGCCCGGCGAAATCGGTCTTTTTTAGAGTAGCCCATGTACAGCACATCCACTCAGATTCAGACTCACGCAAACGACCCAGAAATTGGTCCAATCAATCACCGTGGAATTTTGCAGAAATCGAAATTGCGCTGGCTGAAGCTTCCAGATAAGGATATGAGCGGGTCATTCAACTTGGGCTAATTGTCCCTTGGGGCCTGGGGCGTCTTAAAAGATGCCGGGCGTATCGCGGCTGTAAACGGTTACATTATTTTTGCCTAGTGAGTCAAATAACCTTCGGCGACAGAGCGCTGGCCGAGCTAAGAAAAAGATCCTAGGATGCTAGCGAGATGCTTGATCAACTGTCCATATTTGTAGTAGGTTTTGAACCCTGCACCGTGGTCTCCATTCAAGTTCCATAGAAAGTTGGAATCGTTTCCTGGTGACTCCTTTTAACATCTCGTAGCAGAGACTATTACGCCCAAGTCAGTACTTTCATCTATCATGAAACCCAAACCAGATGAACGTGAAAGAATGTAAGGCATTGCTTCCGATCATGTGTTACAGCAGATGTGAGGCCGGAAGCGGTAGAAGATACCAGCGTTTCGAATAACTTACTTAAAAATGGTCCACTGTCCCTGTCGCTGACTGTTGGTATGCCCCTCCCGTTGCCCTGTTAGCGCCTATTCAGCAGTGGGAACTCATGAACATTGACGAAACAAAAAACACTACCTATTACGAAATCGTTCTCTTCATTGCTATGCAAGGAGGATCAGTGAGCCGCTTCTGATACCACAGATATTCTTACAGCGTTATCGAAATGTGGCCGCAGAAAGAACTCTCGTGGAATAATCAGCACTCAGTTCACACATTTATCTTTTGCCTAGCCTAATGCATTCGATAGTAGTCGTTTGAGACATATGCCGGTACGACGGTCGGCTTGGAAAGGGCACTTTTCGAAGTTAACTTTGGCGCTAGTTCCATGTAATTTACTCGTGTCACCCTCTTGGTGTGACCGCAGAGTTTTGCCAAGAAGGAAACGGAGTTCATTCTAATGCATAGCTTGACTGGAATTCGAAGGGCTCCACAGGAAGCATAGGCAATGGTAGGGAGTCAGCAAAGACGTCTCCACGACAGCCGAACTGCAGGACCAAATATTCCGATTGTCAACTTAACTCTGACATGGATTTTTAACTTGGAATTGCTCAAAAAATGTTACAGAAATTCTTTTGACACACGCATACAATCAGCGGCGGCTCCCCAAACTAGAGGTTAAAGGTAGAGGGTGCGTAGGGTGGAAGTTGGGAGCAGATGTCCAAGCGGGATTAACGGACCGACGACGATCCCTCCCCCATTGCGCTAAGATATGTGATCCAATGTCGTTACACCACTGACGCTAGAACTGCTGTCCCTCCTCCTAGCCAGCGTACCTCCAAAAATGAATGCACGCGTACCTCCAAAACGTGAATCTAAAACTAACACGATAACAGGAATCCGTGCCTTCGAAGTACGTCCATTCAGATTCACAGTGGCCCGGCTGGCCTGAAAAGTTTGATACAGAAGTCAGACGCCCTACCCTAGTCTAACAGGACTTCAAGAGCTTTTGCTCAAGTACCACTTCCAACCACAGAGAGTGAGGCAAACCGAATGTACAGCCATGATCCCTGCAAGCAACAGTTCACCCCTACCACCGCTTCGATCCGCACCGCGGCACACACCCTGTTGCTTGCAGGAATCATAAATGTACAGACTGTTGCTTTCACTAAAGTGTTATTCTTGAGAATGACAATTGATGAAATTCCTACGTGGAGGTGGTGGACAGGTAGGCGTTGCACATGTTGGGCAGGTTACGGCTGGATGGGCATCCTCGGCTATGGCGCAGATGAATGGAGCCGGATTGGAACAAGAGACCGACGTCCAAGAACCATCTGGAGCATTCGACACTGCGCATGTAGCGGACGCGCTCGGTTGGCCTGCATGTACAAATAAGTTAAAATAAACGTTGGGCAGAATTGTAGGGTAAAGGACACATTCCAAGGCTGGTTATGCTTTTGAGAGGTGTCACATGCACCACTGAGACCTTTTCACTAATGGTCCCCTTCTGCAGTAAGCTGCTGCGCACCCCTGGCCAGTACGTCCATATACGTGTAGAGTCGGTTCTGCTGCAGACGCTGGGGTGTGCCAGAATGGCTGGCGTTGGCGGGGCGCTAGCCTATTCCCCGCCAATTGTTGAAACGAACAAGCCACAAGAAATGGTGGAAAACGGGCGGGCAAACCCAGCTCTTTGACACCCATCAGCGGCTGCAGCGAAAAGACCGTACCTGGGCTCCAATTTGTGTACGTGTATGATGAACCGTCTGAGTTGCTCCAATTTCCTTGCAACTTGTTCATTCCAACAAAGTAGGGGGATCTTATGTTCTGTGCCACAGCCGACTCTAAACAATTATAATCGTGATTTACAGTTCGGAATATTTTTGAATTATCAATTTCTTAGTAAGAATATTTGAATTTTCTCAGGCTCTACAGGCTCATTCTACCGGGTGAGCGGAGATGACAATCGGTGGAGACTCATAACCATTATACCTTCCATATTGGTGATCCTTTCCAGCTTCCAGGGAACGTCCTGCCGTTGGAAGAAATTCTTGCAAAATACGAACGCCGACCTTCCCATCCCCTCAAAACTTCTTCCGTTAGTGCGACCCCTCTTCCCCATCCTACCTGGCATCTCCCTAAATTTTTCTTACTTTCAACCAGCCTCCCAAACGTTTTCCACTTCTCTTTTCTCACAAAAACTGTCATTGAGCGAAAGGGGAGGCAGGGGGAGGGGGGGGGGGGGGAAGGGAAGGAGGATGGAGTTCGCCACCAAACAACTGTTAATTACAACTATCACAAACAGTAGGTGTGGAAGGTTGAGAGTTTCGCTTTACGGCGCTAATCTGAGGGATATATAGCGCACTTCGAACAGGAAAATTCGAAGAATTTCTGCAGCTAAACCAGCAGATTATGTGTTTCTCAAATTCAAATACGACCCCCCCCCTCTCTGCCCTTGCTGAGGATGACATCATCATAAGATCGTTGCCAACAAACTCCCCAAGATACGATTGTCTTGTTTCTACCAATAAGATGGAAGGAGGGGCGCAATGGCTGCGAGTCTCCGCCCACAGATTTATCGTGGATTTATCCTTCCGAATGCTCACCAGCTAACATTGCGTTCTCGAAGCCGTTCATAACCGACACTACGTGGCCTTTGTTGGAGACACAGGCATCCTCGGCCAGTCCAAATGGTTGCGGTTCTGACACGAACAGATAGCATCTGGAACTGCACATGTTCAAAAGGAAATCAAAAGCAAAACAAAGATCACTGCTTCTTTGTGCTGTTGTGGACCTCATGAAATTCGTCTGAGCGCCGAATTCTTGTAATGGCTTTTTTCAGCAAATGCGCTTTGAACGGCTTCCAAGCAGCAATAGGGATGTCCGCAAGAACCTCTAGGGGGAGGGGGGGGGGTGGGGACATCTCTCAATTATTTTTCTCGTATGGGAAGGTCTTATTTGTTCTTGCGTGTCGAAGCAAAGTCTAGCCTAATAAACAAAATGTACCAATCACCTGTTGAAATCCGGATATGATAAGTGGTGGTTCCAGTAGGGCAGTCAGCAATCGCGAAAGGCAGCAGCGCTAACAGAAGCACAAACATAGCTGCCAATGGTTTTCAGCTTATCGCACTTCCATTCATGGTTCAATACGATAAGCAGCGTCTAAGAAAAGTTCCGTTGATTCTGCGGGTCGATTAGGGACCGGAAAACTCTGGATAGTTGCGAAGAAAGCCTGCTGGTTCCTCACTGCTTTTTTATTTATATACTATCGCATGAGGTGCGCTTATTGAAGGTAGAAGGCTTGGTTGGGCGGGAGCTGATCTGGGATTCGATCCCGAAACCGTGCGCTTGGTGAGCGCATCACTTGCCACTTCATAACCTCCTCCTCTTTGAATGATTTAGGGTCAAAAGAGTGTCTATTTGCGCTCTAGCTTTTTGGATAAGCGCGAAAAATTGTGCAGAAGAAAGGCCCCATTCCGGTTAGTTATACGTACGTATTATGTTCGCAGTAGGGAGGGGGTGTGTTCCTCTCTACAATGTTGCGCACGGAAGGGACCGCGACGGAGTGCAAATGGTGTTACGTGAGCCATCGCGCCAGGACACAATTGGTTCAAGGTGGCAGTGTCAAGTGGACCACTAGGTGGGTGGAGGTTGCCTGCCCTCGAGTGGAAATTTAAAGGCAGTTGGCACAATGGCTT